ACTAAGCTTCAATAATACATGAAAAAGATTGATTCATCAAAACCGAGGAATAATTCTCAGAAATGGAAATCAAACACACCTCTGGCAACGCTACCCAGGACACCGAGTCGCTTGGAACCCATAAATTATGGCACGTAAATGAGCTTGGTAGACCTCATATCAGACCCTCCCAACCTTGGAGATGTACGGGTTGGCTATTTTTGTCCTAGGACTAACATTCACCAGACAGCGTAGCTCAGCGGTACAAATGTCACTAGCTGCAAAGCCTCTCCTTGAACTCGGGAATTGTTCGCGCTAGATAAATAAACGTAGCTTATTTTAGTTGAAACCAAGGCTTTGGCGAAAGAGGCCTGACCTTAACAGCACAACCAGAGCCGATATATGAAATCTCGGAAACGATGCAAGTAAGTTTTCCCACAAGAATGTATGGTCTATAACGAGCTAACTCGCGACATAGCGACACCTAGACTCACTCGCAAACACAGTGGTCGGGAGTGAAATGAAAAAGGTGGTGTGCGATGTACCCTGCAATTTACCAGGAAAACGTCGTCCGGATGCTCCCTAGGTCAGGTTTCCTATCTTGTTAGACTTAAAATAGACACACAGGCAAAAGTCTTCCTTCTGTACCCGACATCTGCACAAAAAAAGTTGTCAAAGGTGAAACACAAGCCGAGGAATAGGGCAAACTGAAGTCAAGAAAAATTTACTCGAATCTCTCCCTGGAACAGTTTGTGCTCACTCTGTATACCAGGATTACAAAAATGTTCAATCGCTATATCTCCTAGCAGCACCGACCTTCCTCGATACATAGTTCAAAAAATCATAACACAACTTGAAGACAGCAGTGCGAACCTGATTGATTTAGTAAGCTGTTCTGAAGTATGACTGCTTGCTTATCCATATCTATAACGGCAAATCCATATTCATTTGAAGCTGCGACTAAATGCCGAGAAGATATGCTAGCCACAGCTGATACAGCCAGCGCTGGTCGCAACTGCACTAATGCACTGAAAATTCATAAAATCAGTAATCGCATTGGACTAGATAAATGAGAAAATTCATAACCTCTTGTTCCGTACAGATAAAGCGTAAGGCTGGTATCCTGGGAGGTACTTCTTTGGTATTTCGCGAGCAGGTAATGCATGACTATTTCGAGCTTGTGGAGGTAACTTGGAGGATTCATACAATTCTACGTTCAATGTCTGCGGAGTCAATTCCTGAACGGCGACAAAATCTCATTTCAATAAACCTACCACCATGCAAAACAACGCTGATCACTGAAAAAACTTGACAAACCTTCTCATCTTCTTCAAGTGAGTAAACAAGCACATGACCACCTCTACATCCAACAACTATATGGCCAGATTTGTCGTCAAATGCAATTCTCTGGACGGACAAACCTGCATCGTCACAAAAGGGATCATAATCGCCAACCTGAAACAACAACTGTTAGTTATTGGTTTACTATGATCCCCATCCAACGAAATTAAACCTTTTTGAATGGTGGCCACTCGTTCGTGATCTGATATTCATCATCGGAAGAATCCGTTTCACAGTCATTGATTTTGCCATCAGACGCTTCGTTTCCCTGAATAATTGAAAGCTCATGAAGCTCAGCATTACCTCACCAAATCACAGAGTATATTTCATTATGATTATCAGCATTATCACGCTTTCACATTTACTTCACTATAGAGCGACGCAGAAAGGATGGTTAACTTCTGAGAGTAAGTCAATCTCAAAATTGAATGTTGTTGAGGTGAGGTGACAGTCAAGGATGGGTTGAAGAGAGGGTCTTGGGTGAAGATCAAGAATGTTTCTCCAAGCATGATACTTAATCAAAATCCCCCAAAAACCCCCACTCCCCAAAGTATCACCTGTATCACCTGTCGTCCCGTTGATCATCGAATTGCTCGAGCGGGCGCTCAAGAACATATCCATTCGTCGCTGGTGTGTGAAGAGGCTGCATGGAACGCCCTCGTCGAGGCAGTGTAATTATTCCTTTTGGTTCAGCAGTCTTTCTCGTGTAAGAAGTTCGACATAGGCGGACGTCTGCCAGTGTTCGTTGAACGATCCGCGGATCCAGGGGTTAAACCGCTCGGTCACGGCATCGTGCAAATAATTCGCATTAAAGTCAGCCAACTTATTCCTCCTCCTTGCGAAAACGTGCAGCGTCCGCTTTCGATGTTGGCGTAGTTCGGCACTCCGGATTCCCCTCTGCACTTGCGTGTATAGGGTTACTCCTAGCATCGTCCTCTCGACAGCGCGTTGGATAACGCTGACCGCATGCTCGTCCTGCCTGCGCAGAGTCCAAGTCTCTGAGGCGTAGGTTAGGGCAGGAAGGACAGCGGAATCGAAGAGGTGGGCACGGAGCCGGATGTTCTTCGTCTTCTTCACTACTCCCTCGATGTTCTTATACGCTCCCCAAGCCGCTCGTTTCCTCCTGCTCAGCTCTGGAGCTAGATCGTTCATCATATTGATTTCCCGACCTAGGTACACGTAGCTGGAGCATTCGGTGATGTTCGTTCCGTTGAGCGTGAATGGGCATCAGGAACCAATCCGTTTCTCATAAACATCGTCTTCGTTAGGTTCAGCTGTAGACCAACCTTACCACAGGCGCAGTCGAAATCAGCCAGCATTCGCTCCGCTTGCTCGATGTTCGGCGTTATAAGAACGATGTCGTCAGCAAAACGAAGGTGGTGTAGTTGCCGGCCGTCGACCTTCACTCCCATGTCTTCCCATTCCAGTTGACGCATGACGTTCTCGAGAGCGGCGCTGAAGAGTTTGGGCGAGATGGTGTCGCCCTGTCGGACCCCTCTCTTGACGTCGATGATGACCTCCTTGTAGAATGGTGAGATTCTGGTCGTAAAGTTGCTGTAGAGCTCACGAAGAATCTTGATGTACTGAGTAGGGACGCCCTGGTTGCCCAAGGCTTCGATGACCGCTTCTGTCTCCACAGAGTCGAAGGCCTTCTTCAAGTCGATGAACGTGAGACAAAGCGGCATCTTGTACTCTCGTGAAACTTCAATCTCCCCAAAGTACACAACAGTCTCCCCAAAGTACACAACACCTAACATCGAAAATATCGAAAATAAACAACATAATTGGAGAAGCTATAACAGAATTAATGGAGGGTTTTCCGCACCAGCCTACCATACCAAAAACTGCACAAATTGACGGTCGACAATAGCTAGCAGGAATCGTGAGATCGTTTCAAAGCACGAAACTCAACCAAAAGAACTCAACTCTAATGCGAAATATAGCTATGAAAGAATACAAGAAAAATGTTGATGAGTGAAATATGTTTTCAAGACATAGAATGCTGCTCAGGTGTTTCGAAAAATTAGCTTTGTAAAAATAAAGGAAGAGCATATGAGCACAGCAGTCCGCTAGTTGTATCTATTTTCACAAATGAAGCTATACAGGTACTCACAACAAATCAACGAACCTCTTCAACGAATCCTAAAAATTCGATTCGTGTATCGATAACAAAAAGCAACTGCATTATAGAGTGACCAGCTGACCAAACTCGCACAGTTCCATTCTCATGTCTGAAACGGGCGCAAAAAATGAAATTCATCATAAGCAACTCAGGATTTTTAAAAAATAGATTGAATCAAGGATTGTTATCAGTGGATCATTTCAAGAAAACCCTTAAAGCGACATAGAATAGTGAAATAGTGATACTCCTGTATCTTCCACCATCGTTTGAACTTACTGCAATTCCTGAATCTAACAAGGGGGACCTTCAGGGCAAGCCACGCTTTTTCAAAACGGTTTTCATATTGTAGGGACGCATGTAGGGAACACAAAACCATGTTTCATTTTCGCTGAACGGTTATAGCAGTACCAAAAAAGAAGCATAAGGTACTGTTAATGGTTCGATCCCCCGTGGCGACTAAATTTTGCATTTGGGTTGGCGCCTACGGTTGGTGCCAAATCGCGCTAAATATCAAAATCAGATGTCAAATTCATCGTCAGGACCATTTTGAAGCCAACAAGTGGCCGCCAACCTTGATTGCAAAATTTAGTCGCCGCGGGGGATCGAACCATCAACAGTACCTTATGCTTCTTTTTTGGTACTGCTAAAACCGTTCAGCGAAAACGAAACATGGTTTTGTGGTCCATGCGTCCCTACAATATGCAAGAAACCGTTTCCAAAAAGCGCGGCTTGCCCTGAAAGACCCCCCTTGTAAGAGCAATACGAAATTGGTCGCGATACGACTCAACGCAGCCTTTTGGTGTCGCGGTCTGCTGCACGGACTGACCCCCCCCCATCCCTCAAAAAAACTTGTCTCGAATAACTTTGCCAGTAAACGTTTGGTATGGAGAAAGTGGCCGCAGCAGTTGCTACGGATGTGAAGGCGGTGCGGTTTTGTTGCCGTCATGAACGTCTGGTGGGATAGGCGGTGCTAACAATAGCCTCAGCGCGTAGAGAAATCCAGTCCAATAACAACGGCCAATGACGTCGTCGAATCACCACCGCTCTCTATCAATCAGGATCACTGCCCGAGGTAATTGCATTGAAGCATCTTCATATATCGCCATCCTACTTACTATAAAGCGCTTCGTCTGTCGTCTGTCTGTCTGTCGTTCTGTATGTCTGTCACGAAATTCCCTAGCTCCTCGGGATCCGCCTGGAGTTATTGGGTCAAGTGTGGAATGGGTGGGCAGGGCAGAGGTCTCCACGAAGTACAAAACACATCAGCTAAGCGGAGCCCCGCCCACAGAGGGCGTAGGGATGCGTCGAAATGAACTGTAGCAAACACCAAGATTTCGATTTCAGTGACAAACAACCTCGAAACTGGGCCAAAAAGTGGGTAAAGGTGTGCATTGGTAAGTCACATCGAATTAGGGAGACCCACCCCCGGTGGGCGGGGCGTTCTCTAAAAAAGCAGTGCTTTATGAAAAATTTCATAACTCGGTTGGGAGAAAGCCTACAGAGCAGAAAACAATTTGGTGTAAGGGAGCAATGTCTAAGGTGTTTCCTGCATACATGACGTGGGCGGAGGCCTGCCCAGAATGGGCGGGGCGCGCTCTGAAGTGTACAGCATTTTCTGCAAGTCCTCATAATTCGGGGGGGAAGTCTTAAAGAGCCGGAAAAAAGGTGGATAGAGGTGTATGGAGAGGAGTGGAGGCCAGCTGTCAATGGTGGGCGGGGCTTGACCAAAGTGGGCGGAGTTTGCGACGAAAATTCATAACTCGGCTCCAAGAAGTCCCGGAGGCCGGGAAAAAGGGAGTAGAGGTCGGCGAAGGAAAGGAGGTCAACTGCTATTAGTGGGCGGAGTTTGCGACGAAAATTCATAACTCGGCTCCAAGAAGTCCCGGAGGCCGGGAAAAAGGGAGTAGAGGTCGGCGAAGGAAAGGAGGTCAACTGCTATTAGTGGGCGGAGTTTGCCAAAAGTGTCGCAATTCGGTTCCAAGAAGTCCTAGAGATAGGGGAAAACGGGGTTAGAGGTTGGCGAGGGAAAAGAGGTCAACTGCTATTAGTGGGCGGAGCACGCACCTAAGTGGGCGGAGTTTGCCAAAAGTGTCGTAATTTGGTTCCAAGAGGTCCCAGAGACCGGTGAAAAAAGGGGTAGAGGTCGGCGAAAGGAAGGGGCCAAATGCTATTGGTGGGCGGGGCACGCACCGAAGTAGGCGGAGTTTGCCACGAGATTTATTGTCCGGGCAGTCCGAGACCGAGAAAAAGAGGATAATGGTTGACGAAGAAAGGTTGAAAGCCGTCGATGATGGAGCGGATAGAATTTAGCTGAGAATTCAGATATTCGTATGTATCAAGCCAAATTTGAAAATTTTCGTCGCACCATCAAAATTCGCCGCAGATCTGTGTTGCGCGCGCAATGCGTGCGGCGCCAACTGGTATGGAAATAACTCGCCATAGATGGTGCAACTACGAAGCTGAGGAGGATTTCGCCGGTTAGAAACATTTTTCTGGCTATCTCCCTACCCCAACCATGATTGCCAGCGGTACAAGAGAAACAACTTCCAATCGCGCAGTCACACAAATATTGCATTTACGCTCGACGCTGAACTTCGAAAAAAAAATCCATGTGACCCTCTCTGTCGCTTTTTTCAAGTAAATGATTTGCAAAATAGCACATCTGCGTCTAGTTTCCGTCTTCGTTCTTACGCGGTTTTCAGTTATAGCGAGCAACTTAGCCAAAAGAAAAATATAAATACTTGTTTCACTTCACCGCTATAACGCATTTACGTTCTCCTACAATCTAATTCAGTCTCGCTGCCACAACACCAGGTACTGGTGCAGTTGTGAGGGTGGGGCCATCGTTACGTGAACTGACAATGAGTCTGAAGGGAATTCGGGAAAATTTGAAAATGCTTACATACACCTCTCCCCTACTTCCCCGGGCTTAGTCCAAAAAAGAGATGGGGTGAGATTAGGTGTTGATTGTATGGACTCTTTGCATTTCGACGTCATCCCCCTCCCCATCGACAGCTATACCAGCGCCCAACTCACATTGTAAGTACTTATGTGAGGTTGTTTATTGAAAGGAGCATTTTATTTGGCGTACATCGAGGTACATTTCAAATGGTTCGTTCAGACGCGAGTGGTTACTTTAATCTTAACAAGCACAGTAACTACACTTAAAAACGAGCTCCGACAAAACAAACCCAGTTAAATACAGCTGACGCTTCGTTGCTTCCTTTACAACGCGAGTCTCATCCGATACTGGAATTTTCGCATTCAAAGGCCAAGCGTTGGTAGAAAACTTGCGATTTCGACGAATTTCTTCGGCCGAAAGCTGAAATCAAACAAAAAATAACCGTCAACATACAAGGTAAAAATCCACTTTCGAGCTCACCTTATTTAATTTAGACCACACATGTTTTTCAACGTGAGAACAATGAGTCGATGTGGTTATCTGAAAATGATTTCAAAACAAATAGAAACTAACAAGGCGTACCTATGTGAATAGATTAGCACTTGACTATGTTACGCATTTGGCAATATGTGATTTGAGCGTTGGTTGTTCAGCTGCACATGGTAGGCTGCCGCTAATATATTGCACGGTAAATATGTGAGGAGATCGAATGTTATCGTAACAAATCGGAAGTAGATGTGAGCGGGCATGGCTGATCTTGTCATGCCCGGCACTAAAAGAGACTGCGCGGAAGCCCTGACCCAATGAAGTCGCAGCAGTTACTCTTAAGCTGGCGGCATCCCAGATTTAACGAATGAGAGACGGATCATATAGCAGGTGATAATAAGGTGTGCCCAAGTCAAATGCACCCATCTTAACTCTTATTTCAGAGTTTTATGCCACTACTGAAACTTCACATCTGGCTGTATTAAAAGATGAAAATAGATGATATGAGTTAAATAGGTAAATAATAAACAAATAACAAAGCGACCGTAAGTGGCAAGAGGAAGCGTCGCAAGTATGTAAGTTTGTTGGGCGGTTCAAGTGATATTCTGGACCTGCAGGTCGAACATCAGAATGGAAGGTGCTCACCTGACTAGCATGCAACGGGAAGATCTGCTCAGTGGGTATTACCCTCCAGTAACGATCAGTCAAGTCAATACAAACAAGCTCGTTTTCGGTGAGCACAAGGGCACATGTATGATAACCATCATCTGAAAATCAGAGGAGGTGAAAAGGATAAAAAAAAGTGAGAGGTAAAGATTATGTTTGTAAGATGTAGGGCTCGAATTAGCAAACATAAAAAACTGAGATTACCTATGTAACCAAACTCACCTCCAGTCGTAAGCAGAAAATCTATGACTGGACTTGCAAAATCGAAAACACAAGTCCGGTCACCCTGCCGAGCAGTAACAACAAATCTGTCACCATAGGAAGCATGAGGCATACCACCAGAAAAAAGCACTATGCGCTCATCCGAACTGAAAACCGGCACGATCCCTAATTTATAGTTTAGCAAGCCAAAAATTCAAAAGTAAAATCGAAACCAAAAGTTACCTCGATGTTTCAGCAAAGAATGCTTTCTTTGTCGGCACACAGGGGAACGGCCCAAAAACCTGCGGCGGTCTTTCGCATGTTGAAGCGTTCAATGGATCACAAGAAGCATACGATCCATCTTGAAGAGCCAGAACGAAACGACTCCCATCTCGAGTCCATGTTATACTCTGAACAAAAGTACAATCATCGGTGTTCAAGAAAAACCAGTTTGCCTCCGCAAAAACGTGTGCATCATGAGAGGCTTCAGCAATTTGATGTATTACCCTCGCTTCCCACATATCAATTATCTCGTTGCCCACACCGCCTGGTTTCTTCTCAGTTCCCATGCCGACCCAGCACAGAGCACTTAATTTATGTGGCACTCTCTGCCCACGTGGGAAGACTCCGCCCATTCCAAATATGCTCAGCACACCTTATACCCACTGCAAATCACCAAGCATTCATTCATCTCATCTGCAAACACGACGTCCTTCCAATTTCTTGAGCCATTTCTTATGCCCTTTGGGCTGTTCAAGGAGTGAATTACGAAATTTGCCCTCGGTTTCAGTGCATGTCCCGATCGCCGTGAGCAGCGCCCAGCTTATTACCTCCTGCGGCTCCGTACATCATGTCCTATCCCAGCCACTTTAGTTGATGCCTGAGGTATTAGAGTGTCCCACGACTTTTTGTGATTCTGGTTTTCTTTGGTTTCATAACTTACTGTTGATATCTTGTCCAGATGAAATCAAGCACAACCATGTCATAATTATTCTTTCACATTTCAATGCTGGACGAAAAGCAGCCCGAAGCATACAGTCACCCACCAAGTTTGATGGATAAGGGTGTTCCCTTGTAGATCACAGTGTAATCATGGCTCGAAACAAAAGCACAGGATGAGACTATGAATTCATCTATGCTGTGCGTAGGATAGAACTGTTCACGCGTACTACAGAAATGTGTGCAACAAGTTCGCTAGAGCCTTACAAAGTGAGCAAATAGATAATATTCTTTGGCGCTACAGCTTGGCACGCATTGAGGTTCGACGTAACAGCTATTTCCAGCACGCACGTGCCTGTGGTCTGCTTATTGTCTAGGATCATCGTTATAGTTTTGCAAAAAAAATATTGTTCTACTGTAATATAACCTAGAGTCAGCGCATGGAGCCAAGGGTCACAAATTTCGTACAGTCACGCTGTTCTCATCTCAAAGCGAAAGAAAGGGCCCCCTAGTTGAGGTTCATTTGTGGTTTCCTTTGCTTTACTGTTTTGCATTCAATTCAACTACGTACCCTCACTTTCACAATGGAGCGTCATTACCACACCAATCGGCCTAGACTGATGCTTTGCGCGCTTCTCTTAGGTAGGTTATGACCATGAGAACGGATTTCTTCTCACAATCCGCTGCATCGAACATTGCGTCAGCGGAGAGTGCTCGAATCGAGCAGGGTACTACTGTTACCTAGGCTACAAGTGTGTACTAGAAAGAGTGCGCATTTCGTTCGTTGCGGTCGGAAGCAACGAGTCTCTCCTATGATAACACATGACTTAGAAAGCTTAGAAAAACGCAGGCTGCCTTGCGGCGAATGGGCATTTACGTACCCTTTTTCCCGAATAAGCCCATGCGACTACCACGCTTTCAGATCTCCTCAGCACCACTGCAGGCCCTTTGCTATTCTTATCCCAGGAATGGGTAACAGAAGACCCAAATTCATTTGTTTTCAATGGCATTCACTACTTTCAGCTCATGCCTACTTACACTAACACACTTACATACATAAGTAGGCCCATCATTAGGAGAATCCCGGTGGGGAATACGAAAAAAAATTGAAGGCCTTTCCTCCCCCGCCCGAGGGGAGAAACAGCATATAGTTTTTCGGCGAAACAATTCCGTAATCGTTCCGACTACTAGAATGTCGTCGAGGAATTGATTAGTTCACACAGAGCGAGTTCTGGAGACTCAGCGTCGACACAACGGTGGCGCGTAATTGCTGGAACCCCACGGCGACTCTATATCGTTTTGAGGTCCTGTTTTCAAGGACTAAACAAGCCCTTTTGCAAGGAAAATCGCAAGAAATTATGGGACACCCTAATAATACAAAGTCCATGACATACATACAGATGGACGCGAAAGACAGACAAAGAGACAGGTAGCGCTTAAAGCAACAGTTC